TTTTTTTCTTGCGTGACAAGTTATTTAATGAAGTCTTTCAGCTTATTGTTATTGGTTCTATTATGAAGGCACGTATACCTTGGGCATCAAATTTGAAGGGGTACTTGCTGAATTTGCCGATTAATGGTTTTCATCTTGAGGCATGCGAGGGTCTTTCCGCCTCCGTTCTGACGGTTCTGGTATCACCTTAGTCTCGCCATACATATGTCAAATCCACTACTTGATCTGTGACACTGAGGTGGAACGAGGATGGATGCTTATCCTGCGACAACTAATATGAACTTGGTCGGTGGGAGGAAACATAATAATAAATTGTACACTTGGTTGAGGCAATGTCAGGTAGGACAATTTATTATGCTTTCTCTATTTCATTTTGATGTTGCGGATGTAGTGCAGTCGAACAAGTAAATTATTGGTTTGATATATCTCTACTTGGACTGTCAGAACATGATAACTTGAATGAAGAGTAAGTATCGGAGGATGGGTAAGCGGGAAAGATTGAGGTGGTTGAAGAGGAATGAAGGTTATGTTGTCAAATTACACGCATACACATTTGGTGCGTTCGGGACAGGCTGAATGCCCAAACGTACGGAACTCCTTGGGGATGAGTTCGGCCGTACGGGCTGAATGCGAACCTCCGCCCGCCCCCCCCCCCCCCCCCCCCCCCCCGCAAAAAAATAAAAAAATAAAAAAATTCAAAACAATCTGAAAAAAACATATGTTATGAAAAACAATAAAGTAAACAACATTTGCCTGAGCATTCAAGTTACATTCAAATTCCTTACCAAATTTATAATAAATAAAAATACAAAAAATAAAATTAATAAGAAAAATAAGAAAAAATGAAAAGAGAATTAAGATCAACGAGTGAGCGAGCACATTTTCGACGACGCCATCTTTGACGATTTCTACCTGGCCGGCGCCGGAGGCCGAATAGGGCCTCCGCGTTAACCGTCGTGCCTCGGATTTTCAAGCGGGGAAAGGTACTGGTGGTTTAATGGGATTGTTCTGTTATGCCGACGCGCCGCCGGTCTCTGTTTTGGCGGCCGCCGATCAGTATCTCTTTATCTTGTTTAGCTTGCTGGGCCGGTCTCTGCTTTAGGGGTTGGTATCTCTTTTTCTTGTTTAGCTTACCTAGTAACTCGAGCCCTGCTCTGGTTATAGTCATCAGCAACTTCAAAGACTGGTATCAAGTTCAGTGGTATCTGGACTGGTTTCTGATTCTAGTACACTTTTTACATGGGGTCTCTACTTGCTGATTTCTTGAGGCTTCTTTGGGATTTGAGCTGCGGTCTGTTTCTTATCTTTCGGCATTACCAATACTGGTACTTGGTCTGGTCTTTGGCTGGCATTCTTGCTCCTTTTCTGCAAGGACTCGAACACAAGACTTCTTGTCTCTCCATTAAGATAGCTGTCTGTCAGACAAAGCCTACCTAGTATTCATCTCTTCGGATGACCTCGCTGGCGGTCTGTTTCAGGTCATCTGGCGGTCTGTTTCTTTTTTTTCCAAAAAGGTCCATGTTTATAGTAGAGGGTGGACGCTAGGCCTCGGGAGGTGCCTGTCGTCATACTCAACTAGTGAGGGGATCCGATAGCTTGTGTCAACCCCAGGGACAGTCTTTTTTGTCCTCCAGGGGGCATCCTTCGTGACCTGTTATATCCTAATCTTAGCGCAAGTCGAGCCCTATAGCCGTGCGACCCAGACCACTCTATCTAGACCTAGACCTACACCAAACCACACCTTCCAAGGAGCCACAGACACCCCAGGTGCTACCATAGGGACGCCCCGAATCCTCGAGGACGACCCGGATACAGGCTAGGTGGAACCTGTATCACATCATGCAGACTCTAATGGGTAGCAAGCCACCTTTCTACATACAATGCGACAACCCTCCCTCCCCTGCCTAAGATGACACCCGTACCTAGGAACCGTTCCCCAGACTCACGCCCCAACCGAACCCTCAATGGGAACTCAGACAGGTACCAACCGGATGAAGCCCAGCCCACAAGCATCGTAAGATCAACCTGAAGCCCGCCCGTGGGAATCGTACATGCCTAACACCCAACCACTACCACTACTCAAGGGTGTGTGCAGAGAGCGGGGTCTACCTGGGACGCAGGATCGTACAATGTAGGTATGAACTCTCGTGGGTGGACCATGAGGGCGGGAAACAACCATGGTACCCAGATGCGCTCAGTCGCTTCCAGACAGCAGCCCATGCGAACGAGACGGCACACTCAGACAACCCACAGACCCTACACAAAGTCCTATCTACCCATCCCCCTCCCTTTTTTTTTTCTTTTCTTTTTTTAAGGCTAGTTCAATTACCTGTAGAATCTGGACAGGACGGCCTTTCAGGCCTTTTTTATTGTCATTATTATGGGGAGCCCCCCGAGCAGCCACATCCATGCTCAAGCCTCCAACGAGCGAACAATGCGGGAGCTGCACTCACCAGCAGGTGATACCTGCTACAGCAGGTGGGCAATACTGGCCAGGGGTCAGCCGGTAGCATCAGGACCGAGCTTCTTCAATGGGCCAGTCACTGTGCCTCCCCTCCGGTCCCCTTCCCCTATGAACATCAGCAGTCTCTGCTCAATGCCACTCGGTTGGACCAACGGCATGCGGGAGCTGCACCCACCAGCAGGTGCGATACCTGCTACAGCAGGTGGGTGATACTGGCCAGGGGTCAGCTGGTAGCATCAGGACCGAGCTTCTTCGATGGGCCAGTCACTGTGCCTCCCCTCCGGTCCCCTCCCCCTAGGCACATCAGCAGTCTCTGCTCAATGCCACTCAGGGCAACCAACAGCATATCTCTAGGTGGCAGGCCCCAAGCTTGCCCATGAAGGTACATGGGGCCAATGGGGATCGAACCCAGGACCTCCTGAATGCCACTTGCATGCCTTACCAACTGAGCTAGGCCGCTGCATTTTTTAGCTGACTCTTGCCAACCACTAGCAACCAGTACTTCCTGAAGTTGTGGCTGATTCTTGCCAACCACTACTGGAGCGCCCAAATTCATCCTACTAGAAACGTTTCTACTCCTTTTTTTTTCCGCGGCCGGTAGGAGGGCCAAATACTGGTGGATAGATTGCTGATGCGTTCGTAGGCACTCCTCCGTGACTTAAGACCCCTGATGAGTCTGGTTCCAGTGACCAGATGGAACATGTAGGGTCATGGACAAGGACCCACTTGCCCGCAGCCAAAAGGCAAAGAGGTAAAGAAAAGAAGGAGGAGGAAACCAGACCTCACAGAGGCAAGAGAAAGAGAGAAAAGGATCCAATCAAGGAAAAAACAAAGGAAGAGGAAGGCCTATCAGTCAGTCAAACAAAGCAAAAAATTACACATCCCACAGATAAACCAATTGCCACTGTCACAACAAAGTTCAACACATTGTTTTATTTTTCTTTGTTTTCTTTTTGTCTTTTCTTCAGAAATTTGTTCTTTTCTTCTTTTCGTTTTTCAATTTCTTCTTTCTTCCACTCCACATCTGTTGGTAGTACATATATATATATCGTACCTGCCATGAGTTGCTAGGCCGGTACGCGGGCGCCACTTTCTGAAGTACTGGTGGTTTTACCTGGGTTGTGGTTGTGCATCGATTACTGCAGACCAAGTAATCCCTTGAGGTGGGCGCCAACCACCTCAAAGGTACCTGCCATGAAAATCCAAGCAGACATCACTCACCTGAGCCGAACAGAATATATATCTGCCTACGGTTTACCGTGCAGCACTGTTTGACGATATACTTGGTCTGCAGTAATCGATGCACAACCACAACCCAGGTAAAACCACCAGTACTTCAGAAAGTGGCGCCCGTGTACCGGCCTAGCAACGCTGGTCCAGGTTCATTCAAGTGGAAACGTGGCGGCCCGATGTATGGGACAAGTACTGCTGATTTAAGGTGGAGCATGACTTACAGTTTCACAGCATCATCCCTTAGGGGACTCTGCAAATCGGCAAGGGTTCGGAGTCCTCACGCGTTGGTGAACCTCCTTTGAACGTCTGTCACAACACCTCCCTTCTTGTCCTTTCCTCCCTTTCTGCCTACAACTCACCGGCCAGTTTCTCTCTCTCTCTCTCTCTCTCTCTCTCTCTTATCCTCTTAAATTCAACCTCTTAAATTCAACATCTTTCTCGACTCTCTCTCTCTCTCTCTCTCTCTCTCTCTCTCTCTCTCTCTCTCTCTCTCTCTCTCAATATGAACTCTACCATCGACGCCCGGACACAGCACACCGTCATTTTGGCCGAACCTGGACAGAAATATTGCTTGTATACATTTGTTATCAGGGT